AGTATCGTCCGTATCCACCAATACTGGCCCTGTCTGCATCTGAGTCTACCGTCAAGCATTTGCAGCTATATAGAGGGATAGTAGCCTTACAAGTGCCGTCTTTTCAAGGCACTGATCATGTCATAAGGAATGCCCTTGATCACGCTAAGCAGATGGGCCTATGTTCGATTGGTGATAAGATAGTCGCTGTGCATGGTGTAAAGGAGGAGGTGAGCGGATCTAGTAATCTGATGAAGGTCCTCGAGGTCGACTAGACAGGGGGAACGACGTTACCATAAGGAGCACACACTTTTTTTGCTAATGAGAGCAGCAAGGTATTTGATGACCTGCTATTGATTAGTAAACATTCATCGTGCTATGATGGTCTCACTTCAAGTCTTTCATGGTCTATTCAATGAGGGTTGCGTTCTGTTCTCTCGGTAGCTATCAAGTTTCGTCATGCACAATTACGATGGAAGGTTTCCGTTGCGATGATCACCTAGTGGGTCGACCACTAATTTGCACATGTGACTCTCCGCCGTCTTCGAAAGCTTTCTATCCCTGGGGTGACTAAAGAGTTGTTACGTATTGGGTTTTGACAATTTCAAAGGGTGAAAAAGTACGATGCTTTCAGACTGGTTTTCAATCATTCAGTACGATTCTCTATAATGGTTGATGATCTTGTTGATTCTCCGTTAGCTCGCCATGGCTTCACTGGACGTTGTGTACGAGGGAAGCGAGTACTTGGTCAAACACATGTTGCTATGGGTGATGACCTGGCGGAGTTGTCGGTTTGGGCTGAAAACTGTTATTCTCCCGATCCGCTGTATAGGAAGACCAAGCTCATATGCACTATGGGACCATCATGTTGGGATGTTGATACGTTGGTGAAGATGATCGATCAGGGCTTGAACGTGGCGAGATTCAGCTTCTCTCATGGTGACTTTGAGACCCACAGTAGAGCTCTGAGGAATTTGAAGGATGCACTTAGGGAGCGGCCAAATAAGGACGTATCCATTATGCTCGATACCAAGGGACCCGAGATCCGTTCGGGTTTCTTCGCCGCTGGTGGTAAGGTCGAGCTCGAGGCCGGTCAGGACTTGATCCTCACCACTGATTACTCCTTCAAGGGTGATGCTCATAAGATCGCCTGTACCTATGAGAAGCTCCCCCAGAGTGTCAAGCCCGGTTCCATCATCCTTATGGCTGATGGCACGGTTAACCTGGAGGTTGTTGAGTGCTACGAGGACAGCGTTAAGACTCGTGTCTTGAACCACGCTATCATCGGTGAGCGTAAGAACATGAACCTCCCCGGCGTCAGAGTCGACCTTCCCTGCATTGGTGAAAAGGAGGCCAACGATATTCTTAACTGGGGACTCCCTAACGGAATCGATTTCATCTCCGCTTCTTTCGTCCAGCATGGTGATGATATCCGTGAACTGCGAGAGATGTTGGGAAGTCGTGGTCGGAACGTTCAGATCATCTCCAAGATCGAGAGCACTGAGGGTCTTAGGAACTTTGATGATATCCTTGAGGCTTCCGATGCCATTATGATCGCTCGTGGTGATCTTGGTATGGAGATGCCCCCTGAGAAGGTTTTCCTCGCTCAGAGGATGATGACTGCTCGTTGCAACCTCGCTGGCAAGCCCGTCATTACCGCTACTCAGATGCTCGAGTCCATGATCGAGAACCCCAGACCCACTCGTGCCGAGGTCAGTGATGTTGCTAACGCTGTTCTTGATGGTAGCGATGGTGTTATGCTTTCTGGTGAAAGTGCAAGTGGCAAGTTTCCTATCAGTGCAGTTCACTTCCAGCGCTC